ACCAAGGCGGTGGTGCCAGAGGACGGTCTCGTGTGCTAGAGAGCGACACGAGCAGGGGGCAGACAGCTGACCTGAAGTAGACGCAGACGCAGCTACCTGAGGGGACTCAGTGGTCAGTGTCTACAGGTCCGACCCCGGCTGCCGAGTGAAGGTAGCCAGGTGACAGCCCGTCCGAGCACACGTGCAGTGTGTCACGCGCTCGTAGGCAGGGGTGAACTGGTGGACACCCCCGTCCTGGAGCGCACAACCCGCCACCAAGTTCGTAGAGAACGAGGGGAGGTGGAGACCTGACAGTGTGCCCGACGGAACCGCAGGACAAGGAAGGACAGTGGAGGAGGTCGCAATGACCGGACCCCCAGAGGGGTCAGCAAGGGAGACAGCAACTGGCCGAGCAAGCTGCTCAAGGGCAGTGCGGTCACGAAAGAAACAGCGAGAAGCACCTAAGTCCAGTGTGAAGGTGTGCAGTGCCTCAGTAGACTCAGTACCAGGGGGCGCAGACTCACGAGCACCTAGAGCAGTAGCCTCACCAGTACCTGGGGCAGGAGACACGGGAGTACCTGGAGCGGCAGCCTCACCAGCACCTAGGGCAACAGACGCACTAGCACCTAGAGCGGCAGCCTCACTGGTCCGAATGCCCGGGTCGGGCGGAACACGCAGGTACTGAGCACCCTCTCCACTAGTAGACAACACATACATGGCAGTGAGAATAGCATCAAAGTCTAGAGCATAGATATCAATGTTTTTCTTCATCAGATCAGCCCAGCGGGGCAGCTCAGTGGCAGCAGGGAACTGAGTACGCCAAGCGTCGTCGAGGCGGGAGAAGCAGCGCTGCGTGGTGTGCGCCCTCCCACACGTCTGACCAGTGCGGTCACCTGTGCGGATGACGTACGTGCAGCTAAGTCCACCCCCCCCCCCGTGCTGAGAGTACCACTCACGAAGCTCCTGGGGCGACGGAGTCGGCTGCTGGCTCTGGCCACCGCCAGCGCCTCCACGACCACCACCTCCGACGTTGCCACCCCGTCCACCACCGCCCCTGCCGCCTCCGCGTCCACCGCCGCCACCACCACCGCCCCCGCCCCTGCCACCTCCCCCGCCGCTGCCGCCACCACCCCCACCGCCGCCACTAGCCCCTCCAGCCCCGCCACCACAGCCACCGCCGCCACCACCCCCACCACCGCCTCCCCCGCCGTCACCTCCACCTCCCTTGCCCCCTTTGCCCTTGCCGCTGCGGCGCCAGCTCGGAGCGGACGCAGTTCCGACCTGCTCAGTACCAACTAGGTCGACAGCAGCAGCAGAGGCGACAGAGGGGAGAAGGGGGGAAGGGGAACACCCCTCGAAGAAAGGGGTGCGGGGGTCGCCACGAGAGGCACCTACAGCGACTATGCTAGCCTCGGCTGCAAGCAGTTCCTTCTCGAGGAGGTCAATGGTGAGCTCAGTGGGGCAGCGAGCTAGGAAGTGGTCCCTGACTGAACGCAGAGTGTCAGGGAGGCGAGTGACTAGGTGGTAGAGAGTGAGCCAGAGCGGGGGGGGTTCTTGTCAAGAAACTCAGCGGGCATAACAGCACGGAAGCGGGCCTCACTAGTGCGGAGGTGCGTGATGAGGTCAGAGACTGTGGAGAAAGCTGACGGGTCTAGGAACAGGTAGGGGAGCGAGAGACGGCCTAGCGCAGCAGAGGCAGGTGAGGAGTAGCGTGCAACTACAGCAGTGTACAGTGCCTGCGCAGTTTTGTGCTGACCAAAGTGCTCGCGCTCATCTACCGGCAGGGAGTTGCGAATAGCGAAGCGAGCGTGAGCGTCACGAGTCTGCCACTGTGAGCGGGCAGTACTGTCAGCTGTAGCAGCAGGGGCAGTAGCATGGCCTAGCGCGTGATCGTACAGTGAGATATCCTCCTTGGCAGTGAGCTGGAGGAATAGGTGTAAGTCATCGAGCCAGATCTCAAACTTCAGTGGGCGGCCCTCAGCATCGAAAGCTAGCACAGAAGGACTAGCCATAGTTGCAGTGGCAGTAGTAGTAGGAACTGCAGTAGTAGGAACAGTAGGGCGGCACGGCTGTGCCTAGGCGGCGCGGCTCGGTTCGGGCGGCGCGGCTCGGTTCGGGCGGCGCGTCTCGGTTCGGGCGGCGCGGTTCGGCTCGGGCCGGGCTACGGGGCAGTGCGCGACGGGGGGGGGCGTGCACACGGGCGGCTGTAGCGGGCGGGCCGTGGCCTTGCGTGGGCCTGACTAGCACGTGGGCGGCCTAGAGGGCGGCGGCGCGGCCTACGGGCGGGGCTGCCGGTCGTTAGCGGGCTACGCGCGGCCAGGAGGGCCCGTCGACGGACTGCTAGCGGGCGGCGCGTGGCAGCGTGGGCGGCTAACGGGCGGCGCGCTCGCAGAAAACGCCGCGCGCGGGCTGCTAGGGGGCGACGCACGCGAGAAAAAAAAAAAAAAAAAAAAAAAAAAAAAAAAAAAAAAGGGCCGCGTGCGGCTCTGCTGAGCTGCGCACGGGCAGTAGGAGACAGCGAGGCGCACGAGGGCGCACTAGGAGAAAGGCGCTCGAGGGCGCTTCGAACGGAACGGTGGGCCCTAAGGAGCGATCCTAGGTCTAAACCTACGCTCTTAATACCATGTTAGAAAGAAGAAGTGTTGGACTGGAAAGGAAAGGGAGTACAAGTACCTAACCCTAGAATTGTGTACCCCCTAAAGGCTAACCCACTGTAGCCTACACAAATACAACATATATAATGTTTGACAGTGGCTTGCGCCTCCGTCTATAAAAATCTTCACTGCTGCTCCCTGTATTTTCCCGTGAATCAATACTGGGCAATCCGTCGCTGTACCCTCCTTATTCGTCCAAGCCCGATCGATAGCGTGAATCGGTACTGTGACTCGGTGAGGGTCGGTGAAGTTGGGCGAGCAGGTAGTCTCGTCAGTAGTTGGCCCAGCTTCTACTGACTGCTGGCGTTTCCCGGCCTCTGAGACTCTCGCCCCTGCTCTGTTCCACAGCGCCTTAGCTCCTCTGGACATTCACTCTTGCGATGGCCCAGCCTATTGCAAGCAAAGCAGCGCCCCTTAAACGGTACGGCAGCTGCATTTGTCGCAACGGCATGTACGGTGGCGTGCTCGATCGGTCCCCGAGGACGTTGTCCGTAATAGGACCCCGGTCTCGGTCGTCGTAGGATGTCGATTTTCTCGGCGAGCGCGAGGATCTCGTTGAAATTTGAGAGCCCGCGTAGCATAATTTTGTGCGAGATGTCCGGCTTTAGCCCTCCGACGTAACGGTCCACCCACTCCGCTTCGTGCATATAGCCGACTTGCTCGCATAATGCGAGAAATCCGCTCGTGTAGTCTTGAACCGATCCGAGCTGCCGCCAAGTGCGCAGCTTCTGACGTGCCGAAATCGAAGCTGCAACCGGCTCGAAACGCGCCCGAAGCCCTGCGCACCACGCATCCCACGTGCTGTACTGGGCTGTCTCGCACAATGAACTCCAGGTGACGGCTGGGCCCGTGGGCCCGTCTTCTTGCGACGGTGGCTCATAGGCGCGTGGCGACGTCACGATGACTTGCCACCAGTCCATGGCAGGGCCCCTCAGCAGCGAAACAGCGTAGCGAATCTTCGGTGCGTCCGACTCGACGTAGTTCGCGTCGAAGAAAACATTCATCGTGAAGACCCACGATTGAACCGTCGGACCTCCACGTTGGCTCGGGTCGAAATAGGGCAGGCGCTGAGGCTTGAGTGGCATTGGTGCCGTGACGGCGTATTCGCCACTTGTCGTTGCGAATTCCACGTGCCGACGAGCTTCACGAGGCTCCCGGGGGCTTGGTGCGGCCCTGTTTCTCTCCATGCCAGGCATTGAGTGAGCGGCGCCCTCACTGGCTACGCCTGAGTGCTGTCCCACGCTATCGTTCTGTGTCGGTGTGTCGACGAGACGATGATCGGCTCCTCCGATTGTGCAGGTGCATTTGTGGGTGCTGGGGCATTCTCTGTCGATTGCTGTCGAGCGGAGTCGCGTTCCGCCGTGAGTGTGGCGATTTCGAGGGCCGAGTCTTCAAGTTGGCGTATGAGACGGTCGAGTTGTTCTTGCGTCAGTGTTGCGACATTAAGTTCTGCCATGGCGGGGGTGTCGGGCGAGCTCAGCGAGAGCCTCGGTCGTGGCCGTGCGTGCTTACGAGAGAGCACTACGAGCGGCGGTGCGTGGTCGCTGAGAGACGTCTACCCCCCCCCCCCCCCCCCCCCCCCCAAAATTGAGATAGTGGGAAACGAAGGTGTGGGTGCGGTCCGAGAGAAGATCGTAGGCTCTGATAACCAAGTGTTACGAGTGCAATTGAGTGATCGAACGAAGATTGCACTATCGAGGCAAAAGAATACAATGAGCGAAGGATTAAGCGAAGACTATTTAGCGAAGCTATGGTGGTAACGGTAACGTGGGAATTTGGGGTGCGCGACGGGCCTGGTGCCAAGGTTGGGGACTGTCGAGGCGGAGGTCCGGAGCGCAGGTTACCAACCGAACCGTGAGGTTGGGTCGCATCGTGAACAGTGGCGGGAATGGTGTCGAGGCGAATGTCGCGAGTGGTAACGGAATATTGTGGGGTGCTGTTGGCGGGAACAGTGGTATACGCGCTGAGCAGGGACGCGAAGTAACGAAAATGCATTTTCCTTACATCAACCCTGAATTTCAGAGTTCCCAAAAAACCGACTCTGAAAATCCGAGTAGCGAAAATCCAAAAAAAAACCCTGACGGGAACATGGAGAGATGTACAGTAATGCAGGTAACCAGATTCAGACGAACACAACAACACCGCCCACCAGCCCCCAGAACACTAGAAACGCCTAACGCGTTACTGACGTGTGCGTAGCTTATCCCGTTTTGCCCGCTGCGAAATGAGCGACACCTGCCGAAAAAGATGGTGTGACTGTAGTGGGCGTCAGGTGTACAAGTAGACATAAGAAGCAGGACGTGCAAGACAACCCCTCTTGGACTGAATTACCATGCGAGAATCAAGCGAGAATCTGTTTCGGCAAAGTTAACAAATCGCACTGCCAATCAAGGATCTGACGAAAGGCGTTGACTGAAATAGCCTTGCAAGTTGCACCCTCCTCCTCTTCCCCTCTCCAACCCCTCCTCTTCCTCCACCCACTTCCCTTCCTCCAGCCCCTCCTCTTTCCCCCCACCTCCCCAAATCCAGACCCTCATCTTCCGCCACCCACTTCCCCTCTTCCAGCCCCTTCTGTTCCCCCACCCACCTCCCCCCCTCCAACCCCTCCTCTCCCCCCTCCTCTTCCCCTTCCCTCCCCTTCCCCCTCCCCTCCAGCTCAACCCCTTACCAGAGCACCCCTTCCAGCTCAAGCATCTGCAGCTGCCACCACTGGCCCAGCCACTGCCTTTCTCTCCCTCACTACAAGCCTGAGAGGCTTAACAAGAGTCATGGACAGCCCCAAAGTTTCCGTCATGTCCACCCCTCCAGCTGCCCTCGCCTCTTCGGGCAGCTCAAAATCAAACCGTCTAACAAGATTCGCCAGCAGGCGGGCAGACATGTCGATTCCCAGGGTCTTCCCGAGGCAGCCGCGCCTGCCCGACCCAAAGGGCAGCAGGCTGAAATGTTGCCCGAGCATGTCAGGGGCAGCAGGGTCAAGAAACCTGGAGGGATCGAATTTGTGCGGGTTGATCCAGACCGTTGGATCGTGCGCAAGAGCCCAGTAGTTGATATTGATCATGGTATTGGGAGGAATGTTGTAACCCCCTAAGGTTACGCTGCCAGTTGTCAGGCGCGGAAAGAAGAGTGGAGTGACGGGGTGATGCCTAAATTGTTCTTTCAACACAGCCTGCAGATACGGCATCTCCTGTACCGGAAGCGAGACCATGAGACCAGATTCTCCTCCTGGCGCCCCAGTTTCGGCGGCCGCACTTGCTGACTTGGCATACGCCGCATCCACCTCAGCACGGAGCCTTTCCAGCACGTCCGGGTGCTGCACCAGCTCAGCGAGCGTCCACTCCACCGTCTTGGAGGTGGAATCGGTTCCCGCCAGCATCATGTCGAGAGCGAGCATGAGAAGCTCAGTTTTATTGATCTCATCCTCCCCGTCACCTTCCATCTCCAGCAACACATCGACAAGCGTGGTTTCGAATTCCTTTTCTTCTTTCCGCGCCGCGAGCTGGCGTCGCTCCTCGATGCACGAGCGCATGAATCCGTGCAGCTGTGGCGTGGCGCGCTTCGCGCGCGTGTACATGCCCAGCGGGTCGCCGCCGGCGCCCAGCCACGGCACGTAATCCGCGAGATTGAACGATCCCGCGAGAGAGAAACCCTCCTCGATTAGAGCAATCAGCATCTCTCCTTCCTTCTTCTCCGCTGCAGACCCCGTAGCTGGAGCTGCAGCCGCCTCGGCCGCATCGCCGCGGATCCCGCCGCATTTTTCGCCGGTTATTGCGGCGATGCGTTCGTTCCAGTCGATCTTCATCGCCGCCTCGAGAATCGCCTTCGACGAGACGTCGGCCGCGCCGCGAATGGAGGAATAGCAAAAGCGCTTCCCGACAGTGAGGCGCAAAATGTTGTTGAGCGTTGCGCGAGTCAAGTACCTTCGCACTTCTATCCCGTCATCAGCCGGAGCGGCGGGTTTACCACCTTTGGTCACATCCGCAGTAGTAGCTGCGTCAACAGCAATCGCGTCGAGCATGCCGCGAATCTCTTCCTCTCGCACGGGAAGGCTTTCCTGCAGTTTCTTCGCAGACAGAAGGTGGAGCGTCGCCAGCCGTCGCATCTTTCGCCAATGATCATTGTCTGGCGAAAACGCGATGTTCTGGCCGTCTAAAGAGAAAATCGCCACCGTTTTAAGCACCGGGCGGGACGAGCAGAGCTTATCGTTCGTTTTCATCACGTCGCAAGCGACCTCCGGCGACGAGACGATCAATGTCGGCGTGGAACCGAACCAGATAGTCATGATCGGGCCGTACCTGTCCGCCAGCTTCGCCAGGGCGCGGTGCGGCAGGAGACCTAGTTGGGGGAGGTTGCCGAGGATGGGCCATGGGGAAGGGCCCGGAGGTAAGGGGGATCGACGGCGGAGGAAGGAGAGCAACGAGGTCGAGACGACTAGCGCGACGGCTGCGAGTATCGCGACGAGAAGCGATGGTGATATGGGCCATGCTTCTGCGGTGATGACAGACTGAGTGTCCATGTGGGCTTCAGGCTTTCCAAGGAGGAAACCCGAATGAAATAAGTGCGTGTGTGTGTGAGTGTGTGCGTGGCTTGAGACAAAGGCTGGCCGAAGAGAGGAAGTAGGTGTTGAGACGAAGGCCGGCCTGAGGGAGCTGGGAAGGTGCATGTCTGGCCTTCAATCAATACAACGATGCCCTGGGAGTGGCGGAAGATGGTGCTGCTGCTGGAAGCGGAGAGGTGATAAATTGTGGCGAATGAGGCGGCGCCTATGCGTGTCCAATCCAAGTTGGAGCAAGCAGAAGGGGACGGGGGACCCAAAAATGAGGCTGCAGGAGGCGGGGGCCCGTGAGGGGAAAGGCCCTGCCTCGTTGAGAGTGATAAGGGGATGTTGCGCGAGGTGGGCAGAACTGCGCATTCGCAGAATGTGTAAGTAGGAGAGGGGTGTTCGAGTGTGGTCCTACCCGGCCAGAGTGAGGAATGTTTTGCTGAGGGTACACTCCGGGAACCTGGACATGAGCAGGCTTCGCTCTTTGAGTTACCTCACTGCTTCGGAACGAGGCTGGTCTATTTGGTTTGGTCGCACTGATTCGGCAACCAAGCTCAGGGGTGTTCCCAGGGTTTGGATAAGTGTGAGTCTGCCCACGCGGCTCGCAAATTTCCAATGTTGTAAAATTTGAATGGTCGCGACTCCAGGTCTGGACACCATTGTGCAAACAATCTGCGTCGTAAGATCCATCATGGTTACCCAATCGGATGTCTGACGATAACATCCGCAAACCACGGTGTGAAGTGCACTCGAAGGGCAGGGTAGCGAATCACTTTTGGGGCGAAAGCGTTTCAAAAATGGAGAAGAAACCCTCTTCCCGTACAGAAACCAAAGTCAAATCCACGCTCGAACAAACAGAACTACTTGAGAAAATACACCTGAAAATTAATGCTGGACCTCGCTACGGTTGGCGAAACTTTGCCAATCGTAGCGAGGTCCAGCATTAATTTTCGCCGACCGTAGCGAGGTCCAGCATTAATTTTGGAGGCGAGATTGTCGCCGGGATTGCGAATTCTGGGCATAAAACACTTTGATGTCAAAAGTGGGGAAGTACCCCACCATGGAAACCATCCCGCCAAATTACGAGCCGCGTGGGCAGACTCACGTCTTGTCCAAACCGTGGGAACGCCATCTTAATCCAGCAAATTCCCGTCGGAGGCTTTTAAAGTACACTTCTGAGCCAAAACTGTCTGATACTGGTGGTTGGCCCAGCGAACAGTGCCGAAACTTACCATAATTCAGAGGGGGAGGGGACGAGTTTGCAGAGACTATGGGAGGGGAGTAGGGAGTTAACACGAAGGGGCAGAAGAGAAAAGCCGGCTTGACGAAACAAAAAAGAAAAGGGTGATGAGGTGAGTGCACGGGGGGGTCGAACACAAAGCACTCATGAATCGTGGGGAATGACGATGGAGATGTGGAGAGAAACTGGTGAAAGTGCCGGCGGCGTTGAAAGATTGAATTGTTTGGGCAGGAGAAAAACCAAAATTTTCAGGTCATGGTGGGTCCTGGAAAGCAATCAGTTCATTCTGGGAGAATGAAGACGACCGCGGTACGATGCGAACGTCCACCCCGAAATCATTTGGCGCATCAGCTGGGATGAAGACCAAATCGAGTGCAACTATTGGCTCCAAAATGCGCTGGAGGAAATGAGGCATTATAAACGCAGGTGCATGCGCCTCTAACGGGGATCTTATGTTACCAGCACTAATGGTAGTGTGTAAGGAAATGTTACGGGTGCAATGTCGCTGTTACGAGTTGTTAAAGAGAGTATGCGGAATAACGAATAACGAGAGTGTGACTCAATGAAGTGATAATACAATGAAAGCACGCGCTAATATAGTGCCTACCCTATCTAGGAGGGAATGTCGGGAAAACGAGGTTGGGTGCAGGTTTGGCGATTGGAAAGCCGAAGGAGACGCGGAGCAGCCTCGGTGTTACGAATAGTAAATGGAGAAAGGGAACTGTGCACTCCTAACAATAGAAACCGATTCACACAGTAAGGATAACGAAGACGAAGTGGCGGAACGACGCGAAGAGTTGCGTACGGTTACAAAGCATATGAACCGTCAGGGCGGACAACATCAAGCAGTAGCAGTGGCAAGGATTCTGTCAGAACAACCCGTAACCGTCTGGAGTCGCACGGTGAAAATTCGTTGTCATAATGAAATGTACCCCTTACAGTACATGGCTAACTAGGTCGTTTCGTATTCCCCTGTACTATAATTTATACGAATGTATTTGCATGTTTTTACCATCTCAGTCATTTTAAATCCACACTGACCTGAGGTCAACATATTCCGCTGCAACACTCAAAATCTATGCCAACCTTCCTGAGCTGATCCTAGGCACGATCTACTTTATGATCGCAACATGGTCTAAGAGCGACTCAAGGAACAACCGCATTGCCACCTCCGAAAACATCGGCGAACTAAGGTGGCTGTTAAACTAACGAACAAGAATGAATGAACTATGAAACAGTTGGGAACAAGTACTAACCCTAATTGGGTTGTACCCCGTATGGGCCACCCCACTATAGCCTACACAATTGTAAGCACTATAACATTCTGACACACCCCCATAGGCAAAGTGGGGGAGAACAAGTGGTCACAAGACCTGTCGAGAAAATAAAAGCAAGCTCAGGGTGGATCACAAAGTCACCACACAGTCCGAGCACAAGCAAAGGGCCACAAGGCCAGTTCACATGCAGAGTTATATAAATGAGAACAGACAATACAGTGATCATACCCTAGCAAGTGTAAGTATGCAGGTATATTTATAGATCACAGTACAAGCAAAGTTACGCAGTGAGCAAGTGAGGCAAAGTAGGCACAAGGCCTAACACAGTAGAGAAGTGCTGATGATCACCAGGCGGAAGTGCCTTGGTGAATATATCAAAAGTGTTGGCCCTAGTGGCCACGTACGCAAGACGAAGCTGGCCATGATGCTGCAACTCTCGAGCAAGGAAGTATCGCAGAGCGATGTGCTTCGTTCTGTGCTCCAGTCTGTGCTCCTGACACAAGGCAATCATGGCCTTGTTGTGTACGTACAGAACTGGAGGCGAACGAGGCAGCTCTCCCAAGTCAGTCAGCAGGTAGGTGAGCCAGCGTAGCTCCTGTGCAGCCATGGCCCCGTCGTAGATCTCAGCCTCACAAATGGAGCTGAGAACCGAAGACGAGCGCGTAGACCGCCAGGAAACAGAGCCGGAACCGAGGCTGAAGGTGTAACCCTGTGACGACCGCTGCGTAGCTGAGTCGTCAACCTAAGAAGCGTCTGCGTGACTAGTGAGGACAACTGGACCCCGTCCTCCAAGCACGAGCCCCATGCCCGACGTACTGCACAACTAACGCAATACCCTCTTCGCAGCATCCCAGTGCACCTTTCGGTGCCTACCGGGAGCCACGTAGCGAGCCAGGAGGCTGAGAGGGTACGTGAGGTCAGGTCGTGTGCACGTCATCAGGTACATGAGGCAACCCACAAGCTCTGGGTACGGACCACTCGGCTCTACGGACTCGTCCGAAGGTGGAGCTAAGAGCGAGTGGCTGGTAGACAGAGGAGTGGGCTGTGGCGAGGAGAACTGGAAGCCGAAGCGCTGAAGGACCTGGTGCACCATGTGTGACTGAGTCAGTGTGATGGTGCGCCGTGCTCTGTCCCGGGTGATCTGCAAGCCAAGATAGCTGCGCAGTTCACCCAGGTCAGTGCAGGTGTGTCTCTTCTGCACCTCCGACTTTACAAGGGTCACTGCCTCAGTATTAGCAGTGGCAAAGACAAGGTCGTCGACGTACACGAGGACGTAGAACGGCGGCAGCGACGTGTCGGTGCGTAGAAACAGCGACGGGTCAGCAGTAGAAGGAGTAAACCCCAGAGCCGCAAGTGTAGTCCTCACTGTGTCGTGCCACTTGCGAGGCGCCTGGCGGAGACCGTAGACTGGCCGTCGGAGGCTCCACTTGGTACCTGGAGGAAACGACCCAGTGAAGCCAGGTGGGCGGCGCAGCCCGATCTCCTCGTGCAGGCTGCCCTGTAAGAAATTTGTAATGAAGTCCAAAGGGTGTAACTCGTAGTCATGCTGAGCATCAACGTGCAGCAACACCCGAAGAGTAGTCATATTCGGGGTGGGGGAGAAGGTCAGGAAGTAGTCGACCCCCTGTCGCTGACTAAAGCCTCTAGCAACGTAACGCGCCTTGAAGGCAGGCGGAGAACCCGACGGCCGCTTCACCCTGAAAATCCACATGCCATCGACTATGTTCGCCCGAGACGGGGGAACTGTTAACTGAAGTGAAGTGTTGGCCCCGCCCTCGCTTGGGCAACGCCGACGACTTGGTCAGATGTACGGGAGTAGCAACCGACCATCCACAGTAGGAGAGCTGCTCGACAGGCTTCGTTGAGCTGCAGGGGACCGCTGTGGTATTGCTGTCGACCAAGGAGCTCGACAGCTGCAACTGACTGGTCTGGGCGAAGGGTGGGACGTCGACCAGGAGGGGCAGTTCGACCGGGAGGTCGACGGAACAGTCCGACGACCTGCATTCCGACTGGGAGGTCGACGGAGCAGTCCGTCGACCTGAGAAGTCGGTAGCGGTCGACAAGGGGAGCTCGTCGACAACAGTTGACAGTTCTGGTCGACGGAAGGGGTCCGTCGACCAAAGGGGTAGCTCGACAGGAGCTGTGGTCGACCAAAGGCACTTGGGGTTGTCCAGGTCGACCAGGTAACCTGCTCGGCGAGTTTTGCGGAAGCACGCAAACGTCGTCGAGGTTGCGATGGCGAAGGCGACTTCGGGTTGGTATCCCGAAGTCAGTGTGGCTCGTCAGGTGCAGAAAACAGCCGACGCATGCACAACGGCGCCAGTCGGGCCAATCGTCTGCGCGCATCTGCGAGCGCACTGCTATCTTCCACGGGGCAACGCTGGACAGCCATTCTACTGCAGCGTTGGCACACCGTCGACCTGTTGTGTTGGCAGGTCGCCTTTCTGCAGTGCTGG